TGAGGGCTTCCAGCACAGTGGTGGTGGCAGAAGCCTCTCTGGCCTTCTCAGCAGTGCTAAGGATGTCTGACTGTGGCTCAGGCCCACTCCCCATGGGGAATGCCTAAGTTGTCAGTGGGACATCCCCCGAGGGCTGCCGGGCTGCCGGAGGGATGTCTGACTGCCAGCTTGGGCCCAGTCCCCCGCCAGGGAGTGGGCCTAAGCCAGCAGGTGGACATCCTCCAAGGGGTCCCAGACTGCAAGAGGGCATAGGCCGGGCTGAGGGACCGCCCCCCCGCCCCGAGTGCACCAATTTTTGGGCACCGGGCCTCTAGTTTCCAAATGAAAACGATCAATTTTTACAACATCTCTAAGTTTAAGCAGTTATAATTTAGTCTAAAAATGACCTTACCTGCCTTCTCCACCCCATGCAGAATTTGGTGTAATGATCACTTCTCGACAGTTATCAGTGTCTGTATTATACACATAAAGTTTCAATGGTTTTGTTTCATGTGTTTCAATAAGGCTGAACAGATCTTCAGACTGCAAAAGCATCATAGGAGAAAAATATTTTTACGTTACTGAACTTTAGAACACTGAGTCTCAAACCTGGCGAATATCAGAATAGTAACCTGGAAACTTTAAAAAACACACACACACAACCTTGCTGGGTGGCTAAGTTGGTTGGAGAATCGTCCCGTACACCAAAAGGTTGTGGGTTTGATTTCCAGTCAGGGCACATACCTAGATTGAGGGTTTGATCCCCAGTTGGGGCACATACAGGAGGCAACCAATTCATGTTTCTCTCTCACATCAATATTAATGTCTCTCTCTCGCTTCCTCTATATCTAAAATCAATAAACATATCCTCAGATAAGGATGAAAAAACAAAACACATACACACAGATGGTGGGCCTTGCCCCAAACATAAACATCATTTCTTAAAACTGATACTCAAACAAGGTTTAATTTAATATATGACCTATTTACTACATGCAAGGCCTATGTCCACTTTCATAAGACCTAGTCAGCAATTTTAGTAAAACACTTCTACACACAAATCCTATGTATTCTGCCTTTGATCTCTATGAGTAAGACCTGATTATCTGGGCACCTTATTTTTTCTTTCATTTTTTGATTTAGCAATATATACTTTCACTAGCTATCAGGCAAGGAAAAGGATTAAGATAGCTGAGCCAATTTTGTGACCTCTTTTTAGGAAGAGAAGATGAAAATCAATAACCAAAATGAGGATTTGATTTAGCCTTGAGGTACATAAAAGATTTTTTAAAAAATATATTTTATTGATTTTTTACAGAGGAAGGGAGAGGGACAGAGAGTTAGAAACATCGATCAGCTGCCTCCTGCACAACCCTTACTAGGGATGTGCCCACAACCAAGGTATATGCCCTTAACTGGAATTGAACCTGGGACCCCTCAGTTCGCAGGCCGACGCTCCATCCACTGAGCCAAACCAGTCAGGGCCATAAGAGATTTTTATATGCCATACACAAAATCTGTGCAACTACTACACAGTATGCATTTTCGCCCATAGCTATACTAATGAGACACCTCCCAGATGTTCTGTTTAACTCCCTGGCATAAGTGATCTTGACCAGCAAAGACCCAAATTTCAACTCTAATTGCAAAGTATGCACATATACTTCTGAACTTAAACATTAATAAGAAAATGTTACATAGTTTTCTTTAATAAACAGACTAATTACCTCATTCATGACAGTATCTGCTCCAATGATATAATCACTGTGAGGTCTAAGACCTGCCCGTGCCGCTGGAGAATTTGATTCTACTTCCTATGGTGACACAAAAACACAGCCCAAAAGTAATATACATAAAATAATCTTCCAAATTTTATAGCTCACAGTCCTTAATTATAGTGATTAAAAACCCCTACATTTGTAACTGTCTTGTTATGTCACATAATCTTTAATATTTAAAATACTTCTATAGCTATCTTCTCTAACATTTCTTCTCATAGCAGATAAATCATTATTTGCTTCTCTTCCTCATCTCATGCATTTAAAAAAATAACCTGTATTTTAACAGCAATGAATTCTGATTTTCAAGAACTAAAACAGCCTAATAATAATAATATCCCTATAAGCTCAACCAAACTGGAGATCACCACTGACAGAACACCTTTCTACACTGCTTCTTAAACTGCAAGTAGCAGCTTACAAGTGATACGTACCAACACATGCCAAACGTTTTCATTTGCCCCATCAAAGCTGCAGAAACGAATGCTCACTCCCAACAAGCCCTGGCCACCCCACATGTTACTTGGTGTGACTGAGGTCTCTCGCAGCTCCAGTGTTTTACTACTGTAGATAAGCATTTTTACAGGCTTTTCAACATTTGCTTTCAGTAGATCCTTAAGAGTATCATTGTCTTTATTCTGTGAACACATAAAATTATTTTTCTTAATAAGTAAAAATGTAATGTTAACTATCTTAGTTTAAGCATCCTATGGCCTATTGGAGTAATATTAATCAACACAAAGCATTCTATGGGCAAAGATTTCATTAACATCCCAAAGTTCCTCCAAGTAAAAGAATGTTAAGAAGTTAAGAACAATTCTTGTTAGCAACAACTTCTGACTTTTTTCTAATAGCTAACTACAGATTATGGAATTTGCAACCCAACATGGATTGAAGTGATCTAGGGCTTCAGTGATAAAACCCCAAAAATATTCCATAAGAAGTCATATTACTAACAGGATTGGTATGACTTTAGTTTTAAAATCTAAAACGTTTGCTGGCATTGAAGTTTAATTTTGGATTCTACTCCTAAATATAACGTTTATTTATTTAATAGGAACTGGCAGGAAAAAGAAAATGGAAGCAGTATGTTAAATATTTCATTACATAAATGAATAAAGGCCATTATGTAGAAGATGTTGGTAAGTAATAAAAACAACACTTCTGTGAAAAAAATAAGCCAACCAAGTAGCCACTGTCATAAGAATTTCCTTTGCTGAAATAATATAATTCCCTTCCTACAGGGCTTTATTATAGGTAAACTGAAAGCAACTTATAAAAAGTGGTTTTAATTCTGCATTTTTGGAACACATCTATCTGGTTCTAGTAACACTACTTATATACACAAGAAAACTGACAAATTGAGAGTCATTTGTCAATAACCTACAAAAGTTTGACATCTTTAAAAAAAAGCAAATGTTTTAATATTATTTTTTTCTGCATAAAAACATTTAAATATTTAACATTTAAAGTAAAAGTCTCCAGTGATTTTAATCCCCTAAAATAATTGCTGGAGTGTCAAGTATAGTATTTTATATTTGACATTTTCATATGTTTACTAACAATTAATTTTACAAGCTGGTAACACACTTTGTAACTAATGAATAAACACCAGTCCCATATAATCTGAAAAATTCCATTTTCAAAAGATACAAAATACTACACACGAAGGTACAAAAAGCTGAACTTACTAATCTTGAACCATTAATAGAAACAATAAAATCAAAGAATGGTTCCAGTCCAGCTCTATGTCCTGGGGAATTTTCTTGTACCTGTGAAAACAAAAATGCCAATATGAAAAATACAAAGCTTAATTAAAAATTGAAAGTAAAATTTTAATACCCATTTCTTCTGTAAAACTAGATTAATTTTATCAATAAAAAATTGTAGCTACACACTAGTTCTCTCATTTCTCTTCATCTATTCCAGAAAATAAATACCCTTGCAGCTTCCTAAATTCTACCCATTCTTTATGTTCACCTCCTGATTGAGGCTTTCCCTCTGATTCTATTAACACCACTTTCTACTTTTTGGAGGCAGGTTGCAGGGCAATCCTCCGAGCATTTAGCACATGACAAAACAGATAGTAATTTTTTTTAAAAAAAATATATTTTATTGATTTTTTACAGAGAGGAAGGGAGAGAGACAGGGAGTCAGAAACATCGATGAGAGAGAAACATCAATCAGCCGCCTCCTGCACACCCCCGACTGGGGATGTGTCCACAAACCAGGTACATGCCCTTGACCGGAATCGAACCTGGGACCTTCAGTCCGCAGGCCGACGCTCTATCCACTGAGCCAAACCGGTTTCGGCAACAGATAGTAATTTATTACAACTAAGTGACAAATTCAAATTAATTTTGGGAGCATTTATTCCATAACTACTAGTTAAAACTAATATAGGATCAAAACATTTATAATCTGTGGAGAAACAAGCAAGAAGAGAAAGGGGAGACAGAGGACATATAGGCCTCTAATAACTGTGCTACAAGACCAAAAAAGTAAGAGTTAAATGTAGGTATAAAGCTCTAAAAGAAAGATTAATTCTAATTGAAAAAGCTTCACACACACACACACACACACACACACACACACACACACACACTTGAACTGTACTTTAAAAAGAAGGTAGAACTTTCAAAGGTGAAAATGAACAAGGGGATAAGGACATCTGAAAGTTGAAGAAATGATATGAGTAAAAACCCTAAAGGAGTCTGAAAAATGAGGATGATAACATAGTATAGCTAGACAACAGGGTGGTGTGGGATAGAAATACAGAATTATAGGTTTTGAAAATCAGAAATCCTCTAATACAAGAAAAGGTCTGTGGGTGGCGTCAGGGAACACTGTCACTACTGAAATGATATGCTACACTTTCTATGAATCAGCAGTTTTCATCAGATTCTCAAAGGATTTCTCCATGACACAAATAAAGTGTTGAAAGCACTTAAAAGAATTTTGGGCAATTCATTTATTTTACAGGTGAAAAAACCATTTTGTTGCTTGTCTACAGGCCATAGTTGGCTAGTGGTATAGGTGAAACTCAAAAGTACATTTTACAA